ACTCGCTTCTGTGAGTTTTGTGCGGTTGTTGTTTGGAGGAAATAACGTGGCTTGCTTCTTGCTTGTTGCTTGCTTGTTGCTTGCTGTTTGGAGATCGACAGGACTGCCCTCCTCCACTGCTCGCTCCACACACCTCCACCTCCCTCCTTCCCTCCACTGAGTGTTTGGTCGGTTCGTTCGTTTACCAGAAGCAGGAGGAGGGCCCGAACGCAGGGCGGGGTGAGGGGAATGAGCAGGCGAACGCAGGGCAGAAGGAAGCAAGGAGAGAGAAGCTGAGGAGCGAGCGAGGAGGGTGCCAGCACACACAATCAAGCCAACAACAACATCAAGAAGGAAAGAAGGAAGGAGCACCAGCGGGCTTGGTTAGGGTTCAAGCATTTCAAACAAACAAGCAAGAGGGCGGACAGGCAAGAGCGACAGTTGCCACGCGGGTGGTGCGGGAAGTGAGGGTGATTGCAGTGGTCGCCATTCTCCCAGCCTCCTCATTCACCAGCACCACAGGACAACAGCCAGGAAGCAGCGGCCATACTCCTGAGACCAACCCCACCATGAAAGCATATGAACGAGAGCAGGCGTTAGCACAGCCATGAGGTAGTCTGCCCGTGGTAGCTCCACCTCCACCACTGCTCTCAATAGTTGTGTTCTGTTACCCGACTGCCTCACCCTCTCGCACCTCCCTCTCCGCTTACTCTCACCGATGCCTTCTCCTTGCCAATGCATGGCCAGCAGAGGAAGCCGCCACAGCAGAGGCCAATGCATGTCTCCCAGTCATACTCGTCCTGCAGCTGGGTTGAAGGGGGTCGGGGGCCACGGCGCGTGGGCACGGCGACCGTCTCAATGCCACCATGCTGAGACGACGTGCCGTCAACCACCTCAGACTCAGACGAATCCAACACCGTCATGGGGTGTTGTTTCGGTTCGTTCGTTCGTATTGGTGTTGTGCTTGTGGGTGACGGAACAAGTGTGGCGATTTTGGCAACGATGCGAGCAGCTTCGCAAGCAGTGTTGTGTGTGTGTGTGTGTGTGTGTGTGTGTGTGTGTGTGTGTGTGTGTGTGTGTGTGTGTGTGTGTCGTTGTGTGTCGTTGTGTGTCGTTGGGTTGTGGTGTCGTGTTGTGTGCACCTATCGGCTTGGCAGCTTTTCAGGCGGTATAATGCGAGGGAAGTAAACTCGCTCAAAGGGTGTCAGCGAGCGAGGTGGAGGGAGGGCTAGGGGCTTGGTAGGTCAATGAATGCCAGTACGAGTAAGTCGATGATGAGGAACACAAGGCAAATAAAAACGGCACACGGAACAGGGGGGAGGCCAACTGTCTCTTTCATGAGTGTGTCACAACCACCTATACGAGCAAGGGAAGCGAGATCGGATACAGTGGGTGGGCTGAAGCAACATGAAGGAAGAGCTTGCTTGTCTGATCAGCCCCATTGGCGCAGCGACACAGTTCGATGGCACCACGCACAAACAAACACGCACACACACACACACACTCACACACACACACACACTCACTCACTCACTCACTCACACACACACACACACACACACACACACACACACACACACACTCACTCACTCACTCACTCACTCTC